ATCTCTCTGGATTGGCAATCACAGCTTGTCCTCCGAAGCGAGATGCTTAATTTTCGGTCTATTTTCTCATTTGTGTAATCAATAGAAGTACTGGTGTTTCGATCGTTGCGATCAATCCAGTTTTTTTGCCATTGGTTACTCCGACTCTAGTAACCACCATCATCACGTGGGTTACGGTATTCATGCCGTTCACTCACGTCGCGCTCGAGTGAGTGTGTACAACTCGATCCAGGAGACACGCCGTGTACCTCATCAGCTGTCTCGAATATTTGTATGTTCCTGAATCATAACCGCCACCGCGACGAGACCATAGAGACGTTGTCTCTTCAGCCTTAGCTTTGGGTACAGCTCAGCAGACGGTCTGATTCAGATGATGGGTCATTGCATCCAGAAACGATGATCTTCAGTTCGGGTTCAATGCTTCTCTTGTGACTGGCATCCGCTACCGATTGCACTAGGTAAATAAGCTACACGTGGTGCATCACCACGTGCACCTGCAGCGACTAGCACTACAGTCCACTTAGTACCTAGAGCAAGAGAATGATTACCTGCTTTTTTTATTCATAGACGCTCTAGCGGCGGCTACATGCATCTGTGTGAAAGACATATCTTTGACAGACTATAAAGGTTCTTGAAGCATAAGTGCAATCTACCATCGAACGAGCTTATCTAGTTTTTTAAGTGTGACAACTTGACATGTGGGTCAACCTGCTGACGTATTGACATGTGGGACGGCAACGTGACAATCGGACAGCTAGAAAACGACGATATTTTTGCAAAGCGGGTTCATCGTATGAAATAAGTAGGCAAAATGGATGTCACATCATCTACTCAATATAATTGTGTCGCCGTTCAGGTTTACGTTATAGCATTGTCAAATGATAGCATGAAATACATTCTACTTTACATCGAACAACTTTTGCGTTAGTGCATCGACATTAGGCACAAAAACTTGTACAATTGGTCAGCCTTGTTATTGGCAGATTAAGATAAGTATCTCATAAGGAACATCTCTATGCGATAACATTCGTAAACGAATCGGGCCTAAACAAAAAATGGTCACGTTCCCATACTAAACTAATGGTCGTCACTCTCTCATCATTTGGTAATATATTGTTCAACTAAGTGGCTCATGGTGTCAGATAATGAGGTGGACTTGTTTCACGTCATTAACGCTAACATTGGATCAATGTGGATGCTATCATAATTGATATAATTCCACAATATGTACGTTGCTAAGCACATAATGAAGAAATATACCGTCGACGATGATTCTCGGCTTCGTTCAACGCATTTATTAATATCGACTATATCACAGCCCATTCAAACATAATTGCTACTACGTATACGTGCGTATCGGGTAGGAATCAGGTATATCTAGTGTAACTTGTAGCAGCCGAAGCAAGTTGGAAGAGTTGATTATTTGCCGCTTAATTTACAGATTTCTGCACTACTAGTGGTTTTAATCTACTAAGCGTGATCATTCAGTAGACCTTCGTTCTTATGCACGTACATTAAACATGAGGCCGAAAGCCTTCTGCACACACTGTAGCTACATCGGGGCCTTCACACATTGTAGGCAAGTAAACAGATTCTCACGTGCACTGAATATGCAAAGCAGTACTTTTTTGCACATACAGTGCACGTGAGGATTGAAATATGCGCGTTTTGAAGAGGAATATGATATATACCATTTTAATTAATGATAGGAAAATAAAAAAATACCCCAGACAAATGGAAAATAAAGAAATACCCCACGTCCTAGTATTACGGAAGAGGCTCGACAGCAGCAAGTGCGATAGACGTTGGCAGCAGTCGAGGGAGCAAGTTAGTTAAATATACATGTATGGCGTTTTTATGCCCAAATGTAACATACGAAATACCACCAGCTCGTAGTGTGCCTCTATCGAAGTACAAGGGCAAGTCAACGCTGCTATTGTCGATACACACTATGTTTAAAGAAGAAGAAGTTTACTCCCTAACAACATTACCGTCATCCTACACGTACTCTTGTCTATCACAAAACGCAGGAATGATCCTAAACGAGTACTTATCGCGAAGGAGGTGGTCGTAAATACAGTGAAAAAGAAACACAATCGCTGCAGCTTCGGTGCATCTTTTGGTCACAACAAATTTAATTGCCAGGCCATATTTCAAGATGCAAATAATCAGTATGTATATATGAATTAACTGCGACGTCACCGGCAAACAAATGGGCAGGTTGGCTATAGCAGTGTATCGGGTGTCTTTGCAGACAATGCAATGACGCTACACAGTGCTCATTCACCACGTACGTCACGTTTTCCCGCGCCCACGTAGGTGTTCTGCATTTGTTCTTAACCTGAGAAGGATATATGCTGTAAGGCGCCACGTTAATAATAAGATTACGCAAGTCGGAATATGCTAGTAATAAATTTGATAAACGAACCTTGTAGCGAAGCAGCACAATATCCAAGCTCACTTCATCTATATCCTGCGCCCACCATGCTACTCTTGAAAAGCGCCTCTCATGTCGAGAATCATGATGCAGCCACACTTCAAACAACTCAAGCGCAGCACCTACAATAACAACAACAGTAGCAGCAGCAGCAGCATCACCATTAACAGCAACAACATCAATAATAGCTACTGTAAGAACAGTAACAAACGCAATAACATCAGAATTAATAACATTGTCATAGACCGAATGGGGCTGGCCGTGACCAACCCCAGCCCCGGTTGGGGCCGGGCCGCGGAGAGGGTTTAGCAATTGGTGGCTATAAGCGCAGCACACCCGCAGCAGAACCCTCTCTGCGGCTTCCCAAACCGAGCGGGGGTTGGTCACGGCCATAAAATTTTAAAGATTAGGGACGTCTGGTTTTATGTGTACCATACTAACGTGAGTATGTTAGGGCGTGGGGCATTTTTTTATTTTACAATTTGGGTCATTTTTTTCGTGATTAAATGGGGCATTTTTTATATTTTCCCTTCAAAGATTTATTTACTCACTAAAATCTTTCCGATTTTACTTAAACTTACGTAAGCTGCCCAAATAAATGGGGCTATACGGTCACCACCCATTACGCGCGTCTAGCTGCAATCGTAAGTAAAGCTGATCGATTTGAGATGGTAGATAACAGCAAATAAGGGAAGTGGTGCTGAAAATTAATTTTAAAGGTTATAAATGGATTTAGTATTTTTAAAATAAATTAAGTATAAAGATTACAATCAATGAAAATAGAACTTGAAATGACCCAATGTGGTGTCAATTGCATGTAATGGGCTCACCTCGTTACAAAATTATGCGTGCAACACGAAAGAATGTGGAGCACAAGTGGAAATACTGCTTCCTCTTAATGTCCATTGTAGGTTGACTAAATTGTGCTGCACATGCAAGCATGATGTGTGAAGCAGTACTTGCATGAGGCGAGTGGGGCGTGGAAAACTCATATCGGGTAGCTTTGGACAATTCCAGTCAAATACAGCCTTTACTTAACCCCTTCACTTTTGGGGCATAGAAAGAAACCTCGTTCGGATCAGGCTGAGAGGGATAGTCAGTGTCCAGTACTTCGGAGGTTCCATTCGGTTAGTCAATCTATCCTGGCGTCGAGCAGATTTAATCTCCGACCAGATGTAAACCTTACAAGATCGGATATGATTGTGCAATGATATGGAGTGCACACTCAGAAGTCAGACTACCGTCAGATGTTTGGATGTGAAAACTTCTCTGTCATATACCATGACACGAACTTTCTTCGATCGCGTCCTCATTCTGCTGGCTCAATACTCCTGGTGTCACGGGGTTACTTCCAGAAGACCACGTGAGAATGACCAATGACCAAGTCCCGGGTTAGACCTGTGTGCGCACTCTTGACCGGATGGCGGGGATGCGCTGCGCTTCAGTCTGCTTCAGGTGACAGAGGGCGCATGCTAGGAGGCATGTTCCACTCAGAAAGGCCTTAGCGTGACATCTGACGTGGTCCGTGGCCGCCAATGTGGGGTCGACTTGCTTTGCTCTGCGGCCGATCCCAGCACAAGCTAGTGCAGACTTGGCCAGGCGCACCACTGGACGAAGAGTACCTTGGCTTGGTTCTTACCCGACACAAACGACTAGTACTTGATCGCAACAAGGTCCTAACGTTCTAAGGGGAGTCGAACTCGTGGGACTGAGGCTCGCGCGCAGCGAACGAGTCGGCGCGACGGGAGACAAAGTCGTGATTGAGCAGGAACTGACGTTGGCACGGGGATGTCGGCAGGTTGCTACAATTCCGGTCGCATGCTGCGTTGCTTCCCGTAACACACGCAGCAGAGAGAAAACCTCGTTCCTTTTAATTCAGCCCCATTAAAAGGGCTTTCCGTCCAAGGTGAAAGGGCCAGAGTACTGGCTTTTCGGCGGTCGTCGTCTCTGTCCGCGTTCGCACAAGGGCGCCAATGGGAGGATTAAATGATGGATACGTCTGAGTCTTTTTGAAGTCCTTTCCGCAATCCCAATCCTTCTCGGACGAAAAAGATGCGGCTACCACCCAATTCTTGAAAGAGAGAGAGAATGATTGGTCCAGCCGTTGGGTGGTGGAGCGTGCCATTTGGTCTCGCGTCAATAGGAACGACGATGCGTGTGTCTGCTTCACACGCATCGTCGTTGCTATTGACGCGGGATTTGTCAGCAAACACAGGTCGTGGTGCGTCGTTTCTTCGATGTGTTCGGCGATTCGATGCACGTGCAGAAAACTTGTTCGTGGGTTTGAGCGTCGCGAAAAGATAATATAAAGAATGTGTTCGGCGATTCGATGCACGTGCAGAAAACTTGTTCGTGGGTGTGAGCGTCGCGAAAAGATAATATAAAGAATGTGTTCCGACTGTGATCTGGTCGTCGTCTGGATGTTGGATAATGATGAGCAGACTTTGCAGCTGCAACACCATGCTGGTCTGAACGCCTGCGTCGCAGATCAATCGCGCTAAATGTCATTTCCAGTTTTGCGCTTCATTGTCCAGATCTCGTCCTGTACGTATCACAGGAAGCCATGCGATCCATCTGCCTCATTGCTCTCTTCATGGATAGTGTGACGCTTGTCCTTGCTGATTATGCCTCAGGTCTCATAGAGGCCCCTGTTCCTGGTGCAGATCGAGGCAAGCATTAAGGTGTGGGGGAGTACCTACGAACTGCTGTTGTCCGTGGGAATCAACGAGAAGAACGGGCGTCCACGAACGGGGATATCCTTGCAAAGATTACCGAGCTGGCGATTGGAAAAGCTAGCGAGTCTGCTCCCTTGATCGAGTCAACCCCAGCCAAGTTCGTTGGTTGGAAGGGCGACGCTGGCGCCAATGCTCGCGAGCATCAAGGCGAGCTTGCTGGTATCGCTGATGCTGATGGGCATCAAATCATCTCGACAGCATATCGTCCTGGTAACGTCGAAGACCACTTTGAGACATGTGTGCATCAGCTGCATAGCAATCAAGATCACAAGGAGCTGTTGGAATATCTGAGATCTAGTTTGATACGCGGCAACGACCTCGTCAAGTTGCAAGAGCTTGTGAAGGAGGGAAGCGTTTTCAAAGCGGCGAAAGCTATCCACACACAACGAAAATCGCCGCATTCTGTAGAGTGGGACAACTTGAAGACGGCGGAGTTCCTACAGTGGATCATGGAAAAGAAGAATCCTGTGGACGTCCAGAACCTTTTGGTGAAGAGCGGCGGCGAGGGCACCGAAGCTATCGCGCTCGAAATCGCCATAAGCTACGAGAATTATGTACGCGCGATAGGAATTACTTACGACAGAAGTGGTTGACTGCACAGGCTCTCACGATGGTTACCGAAACCAAACAAATTACACGCACTTTTCCACACTACGTTAAGTCGACCAGCCAATTCGTATCACTCGGTAATAGTGATGCGTTTTCGGCTAATCCCTGGCATGCCTGATAAGCAGCCTGGGTCCCATTGTCGCCTCTCGCGAACCCGATATCACGATTTTCGACGTCTGTGTTGTCTTGTCATCTCATCCCCTATACATATCAACAAAAGGATCAGCATAGTTAAGCGTTGCGCTCTATCTGCGTTACTCCTAACCTTGCTCTCCATTACCAAACACAACAACGGTCATTGTTTCATGAAGGAAAATGATCCGACCGCGGCGATAGAATGTCTAATGATTTACTACTCACGTTGTTATGGAAAAAAAGGTAATAACTTTCTTGTCCACTCCAAGTGTAATTGTTAGTCCGATGTACCACACGGCAAAACGCTACAACTATCATGGAAAGCGGTATATATACTTTTTGCACACAACTATCATGGAAAGCGGTATATATACTTTTTGCACACAACTATCTAAAAGAAATCGCAGATCAAGCTTCAGTGGAAGCAGCGCAAGGTAGCACTTATTCTCGCCTCACGACATCAAGCCATCTTGGGAGCCGCATTTTTTGCGTTCGTTGCGTCGTGCCACGCATGATAATCAGATCGACATCTACAACCTGCAACTTAAGTAGCGCCACAGCCTCGTCATCTTCAGAAGCCTTCTTTAGCGTTGCGTGTATCAACCCAAAGTGCAACGGGGCACTGGTGACAACGTACTGGTTGACCAGTACGGAGCTCACTTCCACTGACATCAGTGATAGTCAGTGCCCTGCAATGAATTGCACCAAAACAGAAGTAGAAAGGAGACTAGTGAACACTCTAGTCTCCGGTAAAAGAAAAACTGTTATTTAACATAATTAAGTCCAATCAATCTTACATCTCTGTTTATCCTGACTTAATTATATAAATTTAACAACGTATAATGACGTCTACGCACCACCCATTGCGCGCGTCTAGCAGCGATTGGTGGGTTGATATCATCACGATATAAACCTAAGAATAGACCCTTTGGTCATCTTCAACAATATCATCATGCTCTGTGATATCGTTGAAAGAATATTCAACGTAATATTCTTTATTGTCATTTTATCCTTAGTGACAATATCATGTAACGAAGTACCCCGTTTCATCACCCCTCCCTTAACTGATAGTCACCGTGTGACTATTGAAACTTTGTGACCACCCGTTGGATGTCAATGGGACGGGAGTACTTGTTGGTCATATATATTCATTCTGACTTTTCCTCGCATAGTTAACATGTCTATGCCGGCTAATTCAAAGACGACACGGTCTACTACCGCTCCAGTCTCTACGGCAGACGACTCGTCGTCTGCTACTCGCTCTCTGCCTGCAGATTGTGTTGCTGCAGGCGCATGCAGTATCTCACCACAGCACACAGTGACCTCGAGCCAGGGGTCGGCTACTCTGGCGAGTCAGATGTGTCTGACTCGGAAAAGCCTTTAGACACATCGCGCGTAATTGCAGTGCCTGGTTCATCAAAAGATCTGCCGAACGTACGGACATGCGACATGAGTCACAGTCTGTTCGGCAGTGATGATGAGTCTGATGATTGGTATGATTGCTCATCACCGCGATCAACTCGTGCTCCTTCGCACGAGCGACTTGACGATGGTGCAAGCAATCGTCATACTGACAACCGTGGTATCGACAAGGGTACCACTGTGAAGCGTGATGAGCTGAAGCCGTGGCGTTTGCCTGAACGGCTCATCAATGGCTTGTCTCACGAGACAAGCCAACACTATCGAACACCCTTATTCGATGCGACTGAGCTTCACGGCTTGGATCCCAGCGCGAGTAACTTTCGCGCTGAGGAAGATTTTATCTCGATGTCTACCTTAGACATCGATGGTACAATAGCAACCAAAAGCGTGACAAAACATCGCTTTTGGCTGCGTGGAACGCGTTCGTCCAAAACGTCAAGAATTTTGGACGAGAAGGGTGGTTCCAAAACTTAAGGCGGTACGCATCAAGTTTGAAAAGCGAACACCAACCGGTGCAAGGTACCGGTTGCATTGTTTGTCGAGTGAGTCTGACATTCCTTGCCTCACATGGGGAGACCCTTGTGCGAGTTGTGTTGACAACTCGCAGCGTGCACTTAGGGATGTGTACTCCCTATGTTCTCCCTGGGGAAGGGCACACATCTCGAGAGAGATGCGGGACGCGATTGCAAACTTGCAATTTGTCTACAAGCGCCAAAAGCGCGTGTTTACCGATGGGCCCGTGGAACAATTGGATGAGTCTCGTCATACTGGTGGACGAGACCCTCAACATCAGCCATCAACTAGGATAGAGGTTCCGAGCTGTCATACAACAGTGGATACTCACGCTAGCGGACAAGGTGACTTGTCAGCTCCCCGTTCTTCGCGCGGTAGCTCAAGATACGCCCCACGTAAAAGCGTCGACCACCGTGAGAGTCCACTAGTGACTCTGGTGGTGGTAGATTGACAAACTCCGGCTCAACCGACTGGCCTGCAGGAGACTTTGGGTAACCATGAGCATAACCTGACCGAGTTGAGGGAGGACATCGATCACGAACACGATCGTCGACACGAATTGTTGTCGACCGTACGACGTCTCCGTTCCGATCGGGAGAGAGAACGATCGGATTTTGCGTTCTTTCAACTCAAGAACGAATGCGTGAGGCGCCATTCCCGCGATGGGATAGAGGCGGCTCGTCGCGAGACTGCGTTGCTGAAGGACCAACTTGAGTGTTTGGTCCATGATCACAAGAATCTGTTGGGGATTCTTGAACGTGCTGGTCATTTCCGTTCTCGGAAGAATCCTTGTGATGATAGTTCGGGCGTAGACGATCAACATAAAACTTAGGATGCGTGCGCATCCTGGGACGCAACTCAATCGTGTATGCATTGCCTTTGCGTTGCAACACACGAAATTGCCCAATGTATTTCGGCAGTAGTTTACTACTGCCGATACTAGAGACTACATGTCAAGGTAAATTTTCCGTAGACAGTAGTACTAGGTCGTTAGCTTCAAATGAAAGAACATTCGCTCGTCCATTCTTGTCTGCGTTTTGTTTCTGACGATAGACCGCATTTGCGATGGAGTCCTGAACGAAACGGACTACCGCTTCTCGAGTCAGCAGGAAGTTCTCTGCTGACTCTTTGTTTTGTCTTTCAGTGCACTTCGTGCGCACTGCTAAAAGATTCTTTCTTTCTTTAGCGAGGTTGTCCTATTCCTCGCAGGCATTGCCGTTGACGATGCTGAATATACCAGCATCTTCATCATTGTCTGATGTAGCAGCAGCGTCATTGCTACTGCTCAGATCAATTTATCTGATGTCGACATTATCGACATCGACGTCGAACGTATCGGCATGTGTGATGATACGTGATGAGCAAGAGCCTAAGCGGTTTTTGCTCGAGCGAGTCCCTCCCCCTTTAACCCAGAGTCACTCTTTATAAGGGCTGGAATACGTGGGTGACGTAAGCGATTCACGTAGACCTGTGTGTGCGTCGTGGACGCATGCACGGATTTGTTGATGGCGAATTCGACCATCGGCAAGAACTGATTTCATCTCGAGAAAGAGTGGACATATCTTTGAAGTATTTTTTGATCACACGGTTTTCACGCTCTGTCTGACCATCTGTTTCAGGATAATCAGAGGTTGGCATCTTCAAACGTGTTCCCAAAGTGCGGAACACAAATAGCCAAAAATCCGCCGTGAACCGAGGATCACGGTCGGATACGAGTTCACAGGGTAACCCGTAGAGTCGAAGTATCGTGTCGATGAAGACACACGCACAGCCTTGAGCCGTAATTGACTTGGGGACCTCAGCAAGATGCACAATCTTGCTGAAAAGATTGACAAACACAAGAATACCATGATTCTTGTGAATGTTTTCGGGAAACTCGAAGCCAAAGTCCATGGAAACGGACTCCTAACATTCTTTTGGTACTGGCAGAGGTTGTAATGGTGCACGGGATGAAGGACTAGGCTTCTCTCGTTGGCAGACCTCGGAAGAACGAATGTACTTGCGAGCTAACTGTACTATCGAGGCCAGTAAGAGTGACGACTTACTGTAAGGTAAGTCTTTCTTCTACCACGATGCCCGCCTGACGGCGCATCGTGACATTCGAACATGATTGATAAACGCAAATCATCATGATCGGGAACGACGACACGAGAAGTGTCGAGAGCAACTGCTGTGTAATACAGAAGGCCGTTGCGAACCGTGTACCGATCTAAAGAGGAGCGGTATAGAGACGGCAAATCGGACAAGGATTTCCGGGATGGGTTTTCAAGATTGATCCATCAAACGGAGGAGATTCGTATCTCCTGCGTACGCCTTCCGCATGTCGTCGATTAAAGGCGACGACGGCACGCTGACTGACAGCGCCGCAATAGTGGGCAAGGCCTCGATGTTAACTGGTACAGTCGGCTTAAAATTAGGCTGACGTGATAGCGCATTAGCGACGAAGTTCAGTCGTCCTGGTTTGTACTCCACGGAGAAACTATACCTTGAAAAGAAAGACGACCACCTCGCCATTCATTGCGAGAGGTGGAGACTGTTTACGGCCGTGCGTAGTGACCCATGGTTCGTATAGACAATGTGCGGTCTATCTCCCACGTGATAGACGCGAAACTTAGCCATTGCGTACTTCATGGCAAGGTGTTTTTATCATGCACTCGGTAATTGCGCTCAGGTAGTTGCAGCTGCCGCTATTGAATGCAGACGACGTGTTCTGCGCCATCTGTGTCAAATTGCATCAATGCATAACCGATTGCAAATTCTCTGGTATCACAGACCACATGAAATGGTCTGTCCTGATCTGAAATCGCCAACATGAGCAATTCCATCAAGATTATCTTGATACCTCGAGAGGAAAGCTGACAATCAGCGTACTGTGGTAAAGCGACTATGGAATGTCGCTACAGAGGAACTGATT